TACTGATCCTTTATAGCTCATGGTCAAATGTTTGTAGCCATCTTGTTTGAAATGTTCAGGTCTGTCAATTGTTTATGTCTGTCAATTGTTTAGGTTTGTCACTTGTTTAGGTCTAATAGTTTAGGTCTGTCAATTGTTTAAGCCTGTCAATTGTTTATGTCTGTCAATTGTTTAAGGTCTGTCAATTGTTTAAGTCTGTCAATTGTTTAAGTCTGTCAATTGTTTAGGTCTGTCAATTGTTTAAGTCTGTCAATTGTTTAGGTCTGTCAATTGTTTAGGTCTGTCAATTGTTTAAGTCTGTCAATTGTTTAGGTCTGTCAATTGTTTAAGTCTGTCAATTGTTTAAGTCTGTCAATTGTTTAGGTCTGTCAATTGTTTAAGTCTGTCAATTGTTTAGGTCTGTCAATTGTTTAGGTCTGTCAATTGTTTAGGTCTGTCAATTGTTTAAGCCTGTCAATGGTTTAAGTTTGTCGTTTGTTTAAGGTCGGTCAATTGTTTATGTCTGTCACTTGTTTATGTTCTGTCACTTTTTTATGGCTGTCAATTGTTTAGGCCTGTCAATAGTTTTTTTGGTTAATTGTTTAGGTCAGTCTATTGTTTAGTTGGTCAATTGTTTAGGCCTGTCAATTTTTTTGTCTTGTTTAGCCCTGACAATTTCTTATGTCCATCAATAGTTTATGTCTGTTATTTACGTAGGTCTGTCATTTGTTTAGGTCTGTCAATAGTTAAAATCTGTCAATTGTTTAGTCGGTCAATTGTTTATGTCTAATTGTTTAGGTCTGTCAATTGTTTAGGTCTGTCAATTGTTAAGGGCTCATTATTTAAGGTCTGTCAATTGTTTAAGTCTGTCAGTTGTTTAAGTGTGTCAATTGTTTAGTCGGTCAATTGTTTATGTCTAATTGTTTAGGTCTGTCAATTGTTTAGGTCTGTCAATTGTTAAGGGCTCATTATTTAAGGTCTGTCAATTGTTTAAGTCTGTCAGTTGTTTAAGTGTGTCAATTGTTTAGGTCTGTCAATTGTTTAAGTCTGTCAATTGTTTAGTCGGTCAATTGTTTATGTCTAATTTTTTAGGTCTGTCAATTGTTTAGGTCTGCCAATTGTTAAGGGCTCATTATTTAAGGTCTGTCACTTGTTGAGGTCTGTCATGTGTGTAGGTCTGTCTATTGTTTAGGTCTGTCTATTGTTTAGGTCTGTCTATTGTTTAGGCTATTACCGCCGTATCCAAATGATGTTTTAGGTTTTCGTTGTCTTGAGCTAACATCGGGGGATTTAAATGGATTCAATAATTTCACCATAGAAAAGTTGTTGGAGGGCACTACTGTTACCATAGAAACCTTGTTGGAGGGCACTAAATGTTACCATAGAAACCTTGTTGGAGGGCACTAAATGTTACCATAGAAACCTTGTTGGAGGGCACTAAATGTTACCATAGAAACCTTGTTGGAGGGCACTAAATGTTACCATAGAAACCTTGTTGGAGGGCACTAAATGTTACCATAGAAACCTTGTTGGAGGGCACTAAATGTTACCATAGAAACCTTGTTGGAGATTGTTGGAGGGCACCAAATGTTACCATAGACACCGTGTTGGAGGGCACTAAATGTTACCATAGAAAACTTATTGGACGGCACTGCTGTTACCATAGAAACCTTGTTGGGGGGGGGGGCATTACTGTTACCATAGAAATCTTGTCGGAAGGCATTACTGTTACCATAGAAACCTTGTTAGAGGGCACTACTGTTACCATAGAAACCTTGTTGGAGGGCACTACTGTTAACATAGAAACCTTATTGGACGGCGCTACTGTTAACATAGAAACCTTGTTAGAGGGCACTACTGTTACCATAGAAAACTTGTTGGAGGGCACTACTGTTACCATAGAAACCTTGTTAGAGGGCACTACTGTTACCATAGAAACCTTGTTAGAGGGCACTACTGTTAACATAGAAACCTTGTTGGAGAGCACAACTGTTACCATAGAAACCTTGTTGGGGGGGCATTACTGTTACCATAGAAATCTTGTCGGAGGGCACTACTGTTACCATAGAAACCTTGTTAGAGGGCACTACTGTTACCATACAAACCTTGTTAGAGGGCACTACTGTTACCATAGAAACCTTGTTGGAGAGCACAACTGTTACCATAGAAACCTTGTTGGGGGGGCATTACTGTTACCATAGAAATCTTGTCGGAGGGCACTACTGTTACCATAGAAACCTTATTGGACGGCACTACTGTTAACATAGAAACCTTATTGGACGGCACTACTGTTACCATAGAAACCTTGTTAGAGGGCACTACTGTTACCATAGAAACCTTATTGGACGGCACTACTGTTAACATAGAAACCTTATTGGACGGCACTACTGTTACCATAGAAACCTTGTTAGAGGGCACTACTGTTACCATAGAAACCTTATTGGACGGCACTACTGTTAACATAGAAACGTTATTGGACGGCACTACTGTTACCATAGAAACCTTATTGGACGGCACTACTGTTACCATAGAAACCTTGTTGGAGGGCACTACTGTTACCATAGAAACCTTGTTGGAGGGCACTACTGTTACCATAGAAACCTTGTTGGAGGGCACTACTGTTACCATAGAAACCTTATTGGACGGCACTACTGTTACCATAGAAACCTTGTTGGAGGGCACTACTGTTAACATAGAAACCTTATTGGACGGCACTACTGTTAACATAGAAACCTTGTTAGAGGGCACTACTGTTACCATAGAAACCTTGTTGGAGGGCACTACTGTTAACATAGAAACCTTGTTAGAGGGCACTACTGTTACCATAGAAACCTTGTTGGAGGGCACTACTGTTAACATAGAAACCTTATTGGACGGCACTACTGTTAACATAGAAACCTTGTTGGAGGGCACTACTGTTACCATAGAAACCTTGTTGGAGGGCACTACTGTTACCATAGAAACCTTATTAGAGGGCACTACTGTTACCATAGAAACCTTGTTAGAGGGCACTACTGTTACCATAGAAACCTTGTCGGAGGGCACTACTGTTAACATAGAAATCTTATTGGACGGCACTACTGTTAACATAGAAACCTTGTTGGAGGGCACTACTGTTACCATAGAAACCTTGTTGGAGGGCACTACTGTTAACATAGAAACCTTGTTGGAGGGCACTACTGTTAACATAGAAACCTTGTTAGAGGGCACTACTGTTACCATAGAAACCTTGTTGGAGGGCACTACTGTTACCATAGAAACCTTGTTAGAGGGCACTACTGTTACCATAGAAACCTTGTTGGAGGGCACTACTGTTAACATAGAAACCTTGTTGGAGGGCACTACTGTTACCATAGTAACCTTGTTAGAGGGCACTACTGTTACCATAGAAACCTTGTTGGAGGGCACTACTGTTACCATAGAAACCTTGTTGGAGGGCACTACTGTTAACATAGAAACCTTGTTGGAGGGCACTACTGTTAACATAGAAACCTTGTTGGAGGGCATTAATTTTAACCCCCCAAAAATTTGTTGGATGACAAGTAAAATGAGCTGTAAATAAAATGAGCTGTAAACTGTAAAAAGCATAAGAAAACGTAAATCGAACCCAAGAACAGATCTCGACAGCCTCGTCAATCAAAATCGGACATTATAAATTATAATTAAGTACGGGAAACTATTACGGCCGTTAATTTAACAACGACATCGCTACTTTCAAACTTATTCATTTATTTCCCAATAACTTCTCATTGAAGAAAAGTTTTTCCCATTTCTCTGTTCAGTTTCGCAAGATGGTGTTGAAAAAGTCGAGATGGCGCCTGAACTCTGGAGCCACGATGCGACTCACCGAAGGCCGTGCATTCATCGGGAATAAACTCTATTTTCACGACAACATTTTCCACGTCTCAGTGACATCTGCACGTTATCTTCAGAGCGACGAGGCGGATAGATTGTCCCGTGTCCTGGAGGACATCTGGGACTATCTCGGATGGCAAGGACCTCGCTTGTCCAAAATAATCCAGACACAAAATTTTCGATGGCAGCAGATGGGAAAGTTTTCTCTAAAAAAATCAAAACGCCATGACTTGCCAGACAGGGTCAACTCAATGATGGCCGATGTTGAATTCCTTCAAGATCTTTTACCAGATGTTGAAATACATTTTCGGAGAAAACAACAAACTCTAAACAGTAGGTACGTGTACAGACAAACGGATCTGGAATCGTCCAAAATCATTGAAAAGAGTTTGAATCCTAGAGATGAAACTCCGAATAAAAAATCAAGGTCAAGGTCACATTTTAAGAACAGGGGTATACAACGTCCCTATGTACATCACATTCACGAGAAAAAGAAGAGCACAGAACAAGAGTTCGTTAAAAGAACTTTGCTGGAACAACCAATGGCTTGTCTCAATCTTGAATTATGCGAAGCTGTACGTGTGGATCCAAGGAGCGTGACAGGAAACAATATCTCCTCAAGGTTTGAGACCCGCTTAGACTGGCGCAGCAAGAAATCATCTCAGAAAGTAAAGGGTTGTGTCAATGGTCGCTATGGGTGGAAGAAAGGCTACTCACTTGCAGACATGCGAGATGACATTCAGATGGTCGAAAACGACTTTCATGATCACAGTGACATCATGAGTAATGACAGACATCCTAGATTTAATTATTACAATAGTTTCACACACAAAAGAGAGGAAACAAATTGCTTGTCTGACTTCATCAAAGAAAACAAAATGGTAGATAAAAGATGTCGCCATAAACCAGCGAAAGAAGAAGAGTGTCATGACGTAGGATGGAGACAGAAATATCCGAAAGGTTCATTTATTGTAATGCCAAAAGAAGAGATCGTCTCTACAAGTCTGGATTTGTCATCATGGGAAATTGTAGACACAAAAGACCTAAATCCTTCACTATCACTGGCCAACAACGTCAAAGAAAAGCAAAGGTCAGACCTGCAAGATTCAGACTTGTCTCAGAATGTTCAAGAAAAAAATCATCAAGAAGACGATGCCTACAGAACTGAAACATTTGACTTTGACAATAGTTTCTTCCCAGTAGAACTTGTGATGTCAAACGAAGAAAAACAGATTTTTACCGCAGAAAATTGCAGTGAGAAGTCCATGGAGATTGAGGGCTTTCAAATTAAAGTCGCTGAAAGCTTTCCACCGTCGTTTGTCATTCACCATCAAAAGCCAAACAATGGTGATAAAGAAATGGAATCCTACATCATTGGAAGAAAACTTGATATCAAATCATCTTCTTGGTTAATTTCTGTACAGGGAGATAATTGCCAAAAGTTGAGGGAAAGAATGATTGCAGCAGTAAAAAGAGGCTGGAGTGATTTCCCTTGTTTATCCGATCTGATTCACATTGTTCTGGAAATAGAAAGGGACAAAATCTGTAGTGACTTTGATGTATGTTCAAAATGTTCTATTTCTCAGGATTCAGATACAGATGCCTTATGGGAACTGTTGCCAAAAAGACCTAATGTCATCATTTGCTCTGCCGACAAAGCTTATTCATATTTACAGAAACATCACCATCATAAGAAACTACAGGAACATAACCATCATATGAATCAAGAGGGACATCACCATCATATGAATGAAGAAGAACATCACCATTATATAAATGAATCATTTGAAGAATTCGAGGTCACGTATCAACCATCACAAAATGATGTCGATAAAAGGACATTTGAATGCAACGTCTGCTACTTGCACTGTGACATTTCTATAAATAGTTTAATGCTTCCATCTTGTCGTCACATGTTTTGTTTGTCCTGTTGGAGACGTCATCTCCATCACAGTATCGGACGCGGCGCCACACTTCTCACGTGTATGGGGGCTCAGTGTACCACGCGTGTTGACGTCACCACAGCCATGACGATATTACCAAACACACGCATCAAACAATGGCTGACAAACGTCAGGGATAAATACCTCCAAGTGAATCCTTTCTGTGCCTGGTGTCCAGCCGATGCATGTCCACGTGTTGCAGTCTCACTGACTCAGCCACTCAGATCTCAGTTTGGATTCCCCATCACGTGCGACTGCAACCATTCCTGGTGCAGTAACTGTCAGCAGCGACCTCATTGGCCAGCATCTTGCGATCAGATGTCTGCTTACAACAAGCTGTTGGACAAACTGTGGGGAAATCCTAATTTATCTTTTGGAATGGTCAACTTTGAAATCCAGGTGAAGCGTTGTCCAAAATGCCATTATCCAATCGAAAAAAACAACGGCTGCCCCATAATGCAATGCTCGATGTGCTCTTTCAGGTTCTGCTGGAACTGCTTCCAAGACCATACAACTCACGACATGCTAGAATGTCAGTCCAAAGTCAGAAAGTCGATAAAATTTAACTTACAAAATGAAATCTTCATTGACCTGCCCGTCAAATTCTTTTTGGAATTGTTAGACGTAAAGACCAAACAGAAAGAAATCAGCCAAACGAAACGGAGAACATGGTTCAAAGATTTGACAACAGCAGACGTGAATGAACTCAAAGGCCACACAACTTCGGTTTGTAAATCATCTAAAAACGATGACGCAGAGAAAATTCAAATGATTCCCCTAGCCAAAGAATGCTACCATTTCCTGGAGCTGGCCTACACCATACACGAACGAATCCTCTTGCTTTTAAGTTTCGTTAACATAAAGAACAACAGAAATGTCAGGCACTTGTATGAGTCTACACTAAACAAACTTTCACAGTTACAGTTTATCTGTAGCAGACTTCACGAGAATGTCTTGGGAAAATCTCCCAGACATATTTTGAAGTTTTCTAACGTCAGCCGAAGTTTACTGAAATCAGGAAGTGACGTCATTTCCCAAATGACTCTTGTAGCCCCGGCCTTACAGAAGACCTGTAAAGATAGTAAGACTCTGTGGGTGGGAGAACTTGATCCAAAGAATTTTATGAGATACAAGTAAACGATCCAATGAATAATTTATTTGAATTCTTTAGAGATTTATGAATTTTGTCAGCCTAAACAGTTGCGCTGCACAGCAAGTTATAACTGTTTAAGTCTAATGTTCAAATAGTAAGTTAACTTATGAAGCGAATGACAAGTCAATGTTTTGTTTATTGTTTCATTTCTTTTGTTAATAGTGGTTTTTAACAGTGAGAAAATTTTTAATAGAAATCTAACTATTAATCTGAGTTACAGGGTTGAACTGCTGATATTATAATAAACTTTAACAGTTGAATGAACAAAATTAAGAGCTAAATGAACAATTAAATGAACAGTTAAATAAACAGTTACATAAACAGGTAAATGAACAATTAAATGAACAATTAAATGAACAATTAAATGAATAGGTCAATGAACAATTAAATTAACAATTAAAAGGTCAGTTAAATGAAAAATTAAATGAACAGCTAAATGAACAGTTAAATGAATCAGGTATACAAGTTTTACACTATAATTTATTGCACTAGTAAATATGTGATACAATTAATCATTGATTGCACTAGTAAATATGTGATACAATCAATCACTGATTGCACTATAAATAGGTGATCGAATCGATTATTGATTGCACTAGAAAATATGTGATACATTCAATCATTGATTGCAATAGGAAATATGTGATACAATCCATCATTTATTGCACCAGCAAATATGTGATACACTCAATCATTGATTGCGCTAGTAAATATGTTACACAATCAATCATTGTGTGTAGATAATTTAAATGTTAGAATAAATATGTGCTCAGTTGTCATGTACGATTTAAAACTTGTCTTACTCAGTGTTTTACCACACGTGATAATGTATGATTTTTGTTTGTTATTCACATCAACATACCCTGGTCTAGCATTATGAAATATTCTAAAATGCACAAATCCTCACTCCCCCCACACCTCCCCCCCCCCCTTGCTGGCATTGATAATCGTTATATTTATGTCATACCTTATTTTACAAACACTCCGAAATGGATGGAAGCAGATGTATAGAAGACTTTGTCTTTTTATTTGTTTGACGTCTTTAGATGGTAGGTTGTGGGGGGGGGGGCGTCGGTGGGGTACCAGCTGATCAAGGGGTGGCCGATGAAGGTGACCATTCTCTCCCGTAAGCAGGGGCGTACCGAGGCGCAGCCGACTAAAACTGAAATTGCGCACCTGTCAAACTTGAGAAATCAATTTGTATTATATTTAAAATAGAGAACAAACATTCCAGCCAATCAAGTTTCTCTTTGGACCTGGAGGAGTTGGGCTAATAGTTTTATTCTACAACAATACCCAACAATATGAGGTGAAATCGCAAAAACCCGCCCTACGTCAGATCTGTTTCAACATACACATCGGTTTGTATGATGTTAGACATATGCATACATTAACAATTTTAACAATAATCCAGCTGTTTATTCGTCATAGAGTCATTTTGACATTTGTGGGGGGCTTAAAGGGGATTTTCCTAGCGGCCTGAAAATCCTGTGCACTGTCCTTGCTGGAGCAGTGCACTGCACTGTTAACAAACGCAAGTGCGCATTCAAGACGCCGGAGTTTCAGTACTGCTAGTTCTGTCACATGCTGCTTGTTGGAATATATTAAAGACTTTTTTGGTGACCGTAAGCGACCATCGACATCTTTAAAAACAAACCATCTTCTAAAAAAAAAAAAATTTAATTTAAAATTTATTTTTTAAATAGTTTAAAGGAAATATAAAAGAAAATACTATTTTATAACAACTAAAAATGAGGGTTTTTATAAACTCAACCAGGTCAAGGCTAAATTTAATAATTATTCTGTTGATCTTTGACAAGGTGTGGAATGATGAAAAATAAAATCCCGGTATATGGCAAAATGAAGCCTTGTAGAATTAATTTATCACATTTTTAGGAGGAGGCTTAATGAAGTTGAGATAAAAGGTGGGGGGGGGGGGGGGGGGGGTGGAGAGCTCATTTTAAGTACGCATTTAGATGGGGGTGCCCAAATATTACGGGTGTAACAGGTGGGATGGGGGTATACAATTTGACTTTTTGTGCCATCCATAAAATAGATGATATTCCAACTGTCAGTTAGATCACTTGTTCGCTCCAAGATATTGTTTTCAAATTTTAAGGTACATCACGTGCTCTCCAATAGATGATATTCATATTGTCAGTTTCATCACTTGTTCTCTCCAAGTTATTATTTTCCAATGTCAGTTAGATCACTCGTTCTCTCCCATATATGATATTCCAATGTCAGTTAGATCACTCGTTCTCTCCCATATATGATATTCCAATGTCAGTTAGATCACTCGTTCTCTCCCATATATGATATTCCAATGTCAGTTAGATCACTCATAACTATTTGATGTCGTTACCATTAGGCTTATGTATTTCATTATTTTTTTTTTCCGCAAAAAACGTGATTATAGCGCCCCCCCCCACCCTTTTAAACGTACATTACATGAAAAAATGTGACATTGGCAACATGTGTTCTATTTCTGTCTCTTCCCTGGGATGACACGTTGATTATTGAATAATGTCATCATGCTTTGAAAATATAGTTTTTAGTTTAACTTTTTGACATTCATATACAATGTAGTTTAAAAACTGAGTATAAATCTTTTCTATAAAGCAGTTCTTTTTCTCTTTCTACATCTGTTAAGAGTTTAACATATTTGGAAAAGGTAATTATTATTCTTGCACTTTTGTGACGGCCAGATTAAAAAAATTTAAAATTATTATTTTAACTATTCTCTAGTTCTGAACGCGTCTGCTGACTGTCAATCAAGATGGGAAATACAAATGTAACCGACTTTTACTCGGGGGGCTATGGGCGCCCTCCAATTCAGCTCACCCCCCCCCTTCCACGCCAATCAATGTGACACCACGGGGGCCTAAAATAATATGGGTCCAAAAGAATACCCTGAGGGGGCTAAAAAAAAAAGGGTCCAAAAAAAATCCCTGGGGCGCGTCAAAAATGGAAAGAATTCGGGGATGCACGACACCCGAGACCGTAATGCCTTATTTGCGCCCTGAAAGAGTACCCCCCCCCCCCCCGCAAACTCCTAAATGACCCCCCCCCCTCGATCGTATTTTCTGATTTTCTGAAATTTAAATCTACGCCAAAAAGCAGCCCTTGATTTTGAATGGATCTAAAATTTTCTGGGAAGGGTTTAACCCCATCCAAAAATAACTCTCCACATTCTCCCCCAGGAGCCATCGACGCCCTTGATTTCTGTACCCCCACCTCAAGTACTTAACCCCCCCACCCCATGAAATGCCATTCTCAGCACCGTTTTAAATACAAAATAAACCTTGTCTGGGGCCAAACCCGTACCCTAAGCCAGTGGCTCTTAACCTCTGTTAAGCATATCCCTAAAACGGTAGGGAAAAAAACGGATTTGAGCGACTTCCTTCAAGGGTGCCACAAATTTAATCAATTTATTTTGTGTTAAGCGAGGAGCGGGGCGGAGTTACAGCTTGCCCTGGTCGTCCTTATGCACAAAATTGAAGCTCATAGTTGAAACGCCCAAACACTTAGCTAGGGGTAGCGCCACCCCCGGGCGGGAGAACAATTTTGTGACCACTTTACAAGATACAAACTATAGGGAACAATAGATGCCGCCCCACCATGAAAAGAAAATTTGAATTCGGTGATTGATCACCCCTTCCCTATGACACTGCCCACTCTCCCTATGACACTGACCACACTTCCTAATGACACTGCCCACACTTACTATGACACTGCCCACACTTCCTATGACACTGTCCACACTTCCTAATGACACTGCCCACTCTTCCTATGACACTGCCCACACTTCCAAATTACACAGCCCACACTTCCTATGACACTGCCCACACTTCTTATGACACTGCCCACACTTCTTATGACACTGCCCACCCTTCCCATGACACTGCCCACACTTCCAAATGACACTGCCCACACTTCCTATGATGCTTCCCACACTTCTTATGATACTGCCCACTCTTCCTATGAAACAGCCCACACTTCCTAATGACACTGCCCACACTTC